CTTCATTTTTTCTCTAAGTGTTTTTCTCCCCAGAAGAAGCGACAATGATGTTCTGCTGAGCTGTGGTGGCCTCATGGGGGGGCATCGTCTAGCACACTGCTGCTAACCACTTAAACATTCTCCCTCTCCTGATAATAACTTTTTGCTTTCCTTGACGTTGGATGTGCTACTGCTAGTTTACCCGTTTAACAATAGATTCACTAGGATAAATACAATAAAGTTTATCTCTCACCAAATAGAATATTTACTAAGCAATCACGGTGTAACCATGGACACATTGCTTGGTGTGTGTGTGTGTGTGTGTGTGTGTGTGTGTGTGTGTGTGTGTGTGTGTGTGTGTGTGTGTGTGTGTGTGTACCTGTCTAAAGGGCATGCTCGGATGATTGCAAGGTACCAGGAGAACTACAACGCATCAGAAAGAAGCTTGCTCATAATATACCTGGACAAGGTAAAGATATATCAGTGTTATTTATCCTTAAACATTTCTGTGAGTGTTGTTTTTTCCTCATTGGTTGTTTATTTGTTTTATCTCTCCGCAGGTTTCACACACAAAACCAGAAGAGATCACATTTAGAGTTCATCAGATGCTAAAGGTCGATGTTCTACAACCAGCGGTAGTGTCTGTCTACAAGTTCAACACCCACCAGTATGTCGATCAGGATAGTGATCGTGAGTTTGGTGCTTCTGACCCTTTAGAACATTCAGATTCAAACATTTGATCTTGTATTTCTCCTTTTCGTTTTAAAATATATGATCATACTAAATCCTCTATTTGGATCTTTTTACCTTTTTTTTTGTTATTTCCTCATGAAAAACACCCCTACAGCGGCTTCTGACTTCTTGCATGTATTTTCCTGTCTTAGTTGCTTCATTCCTTCAGCCAATTTTGTTAAGCTATTGCATTCAGCTGAATCGGGTTGATGCTGTGTCATCACGGCCCGCTCCTCCCCATCCAGGTATAGCCTACAGTCTGGATCCCTCCTCCCCTGGTCTGTAAACACTGTCTCTTTGTGTAGCTAGCAGGGAGTTTAATCTCCACAGTTGTGACGAATGTAGACTGAAAGACCATGTACTGTTGTATTTTCAAACAGTCCTAATCTAGATGATAATGACTTCATCTCACAAAGCAGAGAACCGCTGTGTGAAGTTCTACCATCCTGAGAGAAGAGCTGGAAAGCTACTGCGCCTCTGCAGAAATGAAACCTGCACATGTGCTGAAGGTAACTGGAGAATCTGTCAGCAGTCAACAAACAGGTTTTAAACACTTTAAACCATTTGATGGGATATTTCTATACTTCTGGGGGCTTTTGTAGTTTTTTTGTGTGTTCTCAGAAAACTGTAGTAGACGTAAGCTTGGCAACGTTAACAATGATGAGCGAACAGCTAAAGTTTGTGAGACTCAACTCAGCAGCAAAATAGAATATGGTGAGTTTTTGTGCCATTATAGAGTTTAAATCTTTTAGTGGGGTGTTGTGATTGGTTAAAAGTCTGCTGCTTGTTTGTCTTTAGTTTACAAAGTGAAAGTACAAGAGGTTGAGGACAGCTTGTCCACTGACGTTTACACTGTCAAAGTGCTCAATGTCATTAAAGAAGGTGGTTCTGTTAAACTTCCATCTCGTTGAAGTGCCAAAATTAAATGACCAAAGTTTTTTTTTTTATCATTGGGAACTTTATTTATAGTCAGGGCTGCTAACCTTTGCAAAAATTCCAAAGTTGATTTTTTTTTTATTTAATGTGGGGGAATTCCAATGCAGTATTTCTAAGAACATTGGGCTAGGTAAAAATTACACTATTAGTATGGCTGAGAAGGTCCAGTTTTAGCCATAGACATGAATCCGTAGATGCCCCATAGAGCGCTGGAGAGTGTAACAGCATCACTGCCATATTGGATGGGTCTCCTCCAGAGGTGTTACCAAGTCACTGCTTTGCAAGTCACAAGTAAGTCACAAGTCTTTCCAGTCAAGCCCCGAGTCAAGTCCAAGTCTAAGACAACCAATTTCAAGTCGAGTCCAAAGTCAATGATGTGGAAGTCCAAGTCAAGTCCAAGTCCTTAACTTTGAATTTTCAAGTCATAATCAAGTCATCTGTCCAACTTTAATGGCAATGATCATAAATAAATTCCAGAAATAAAGCTTCTTAAAGCTTCATTTATTTGCTGAAACAAGCAGAAAGTACAACTGAAACTGATTATAAACAAAGTGCTGCTGCATTTAGCAGAACAAGATCAAACCCAGAACGATGAATGATTTATGATTTCTGTCCATGTCGGGCCACTTTTGGGCTAAAATATCAAAAATGCTCAAATCATCATCAAGTTGACAGATGCAAGTCGATTCAAGTCGCAAGTCATTGGTGTTCAAGGTCAAGTTGTAAGTCTTTATAGATTTTATCAAGTCAAGTCAAAAGTGATTAAAATAATAACTCGAGTCTGACTCTAGTCCAAGTCATGTGACTCGAGTCCACACCTCTGGTCTCCTCACTCTCCAAAGTCGATGCAGGGTGAGCAGCTGTGCCTGTTTTTGTGCAGCCTACAGTTGCAACAGCCGGCGTACAATGAAAACAGATCACATGGGATTACTGGTGACTTTCTAGCCTATCTAATAGGATTTTATATTTGATTTTATTTTAATGTATTTTGTTAAATTTAAATTTAAATATCATGTCATACCATGTGTGTGATTTTGTGAAAAGCTTGATAAAATGTGTTTTTTAGTCGTCTCACAGAATGTCATCCAAAACTTTCAACATGGCTGATTCGGTGCTTTGATGAGGTTTAAACACAGATTGGAAACATGCTTAAGAGCACTGGGAACCTTGCCGGATAACAAGCTGCTGCTGACAATTTCCATCACATGGGGAGCCACCACAGGAGGGTTGCTAGGAGCACATTAGACACAGAACCACAGGGCTTCAGTTTCTGACCAACATCAGCAGTTCTAACAGAATTGCTGGTTGGAAGCTAACAAAGACTGCTGGGGTCGAGGCCTGAGGAGATGAATGGCACTTTGGAGCCACAATCGTCAGACATAAAGCCCTTGGTTATTAGTTCAAGACCAATAAATACCCAAACACGAACAAAGACATTCATACAGACAGAATTTTTTTTAATGTACACATTGTTGTTTTAAATAGGAAAAGCATTTATGTTAGATTCCACAATCAGCTACTTAGAAATTTTAAATAAATATCAAATACAGCAAAAGAAACTTATGACAAAATAGAAATTGTCATATATTTTTACTGTTTGTTCTTTGTCTAAATATACAGTACTTTAAAATATAATTTCCTTATTTGTAATCTGTTGTTCAGTTTGATTGATGGCCCCATGCTCTGTCTATAAGGGATTTATGCATCACAGAACTCAATCCTTTTGTGTGGCTTTTGAGAGAAAGGATTTTTCATGCTTTAAGCAGATGATTCACTGAGACACACACCCCTGGAGACTGAAAACTCAAACTGTAACTAATGTCAAAATAAAATGTGAAAAAGGACAAAGTGGAATTTATGGACTGCAGATGCTCTTAAAGGATAACACAGTAGACTTGTATTTTTATTTTTATTTTATTTTATTTTTCTTGTCGCCACTGGAGGGCGTAAACTCCCCTCCTCAGTTTGTAGCACTGTAGAAGGGACACTGAAGATCAGAGAGATTCATTGTTTCCATCCTGAGATATTGGAGTATGGCAGTCAAATGCACGTCTCATTGTGTGAAAATTAGCAGCTTTGTTTGTTATCCTATTCCAATCTGATCCCACTATGTTTTAGCTGTAGCTGAGTGGTGGGCCATTTCTCTTGAGGCCTGGGATCCTGCATCTTTGATCCTTTGATCACAAATGTCGTGGACTCATTGTGATCCTAAAAACCCACTATTAGTGAATGCAGTGACATAACCGTTTGCTGTGCTTTAAGTAGGCCTATTCTTTGGACATTTTTATTTTTATTTGCAGGATCACATGGATCCTCAGAATAAATCACACGTATTCCTCAGTTATACACACTGCAGAGAAGCTTTAGGTCTGGCGAAAGGCAAAGATTATCTCATCATGGGCTCAAATAAAGATATTTACGCTGATGACAAAAGCCAGCCATTAGTTTATTGTCTTTAATAAATTATGCTTCTGATGACCTTATGATGGTGTTGGCATGTAAACTCCGTACCTGCTTTTTATTTTTTCACATCAAGTATGTGTTTGGTGAGAAGACCTGGGTTGAGTACTGGCCCACAGAAGCAGAGTGTAAAACTGTGAAACACAAAACTGTCTGTGAGGAGATGGAAGAAATGGCCCAGCTGTACAACATCCACGGATATCCACATTAGTGACAATTAAGAAACAAAATGATCATTTAAAGTTGAGTTTGAGATATCATCTCACTTCTTGATGGAAAGAAATATATATGAAATTATAAATGACCCAAATGTCAAACTGAATAAAATAAAATAAAAACCATAATCTCTTTAATCATTAGTTCTGCTTTTTACGTTAATTTAATGTTTCCATGAAGTTACAGTCAGTACCCCACCACCATATTTTTTCTGTTTTTGCTTAATATGCTGATCTGAAACATTTGAACCCATAAGAACACAGAGTGACAGGTGTCACATCTTAATTCAAAGCTCTGGCAATTTCCCCTCCAGCTTTGCTATATCGATATATAAAAATATATTTTACCCAGAGTCACATTTATGTTGTCTTTTATATCTGTTTGTTTTATATTCTGTGAGGGGTTGCATTCCTTTGTGCTAAATCTTAAAAGAAATTCCCCAAATCATTAAGAAAATAGAAAATAATATGCTACGTTTCAGTTTTCATCAGTTATAATATAAATCATTATGGTTTAAACAAGAATGCACATGATTAAACAATTATGACCAGCACTGTTTTGGTGGTCCTTTATGCTCAGTCACAACAGCCATGAAAAACTACAAATTTCCTTGGAAAATGCAGTTTTACAAATAACCGCTAGATGGGAGTAGCGCGCTACTGTGCAAAGCCGTTCAGAAGGCAGAAGAAAAAGTGACGTACTTCCGTTTGCTCAGCCGCCAGTGGATGATGTCGGTGTTCTTTGAGGATAAAAGGATCAAACTTTAACTTCAACATTCTGAAGCAAACGCTGCTCGAAACGACTTGTAAGCAACGATAGTTTGGAGCGAAGCGACATCTCAGGTTTTACTCACGTAAGCGGAAAAGCTAGTTTTTCAGCTGAGGTTTCTCTGTCAGAGGATTCTACTATGGCCAAGGTACAAGTCTTAAATGTTGCTGTCTTGGACAACCCGAGTCCGTTTGGAAACCCGTTTCAATTTGAGATAACGTTTGAGTGCATGGAGGATTTACCGGAAGGTGAGTGTTATATCCCAAAATCTAAATAAAATCCCAATGTTAGGTTTTGACATCTGCGTTTTAACGTATTTTCACCAAGTGTCAGCTCTACTTTAGCGCTGTTATGTTAATTATAAATTCATGTTAACGTTATTTTTATCAGTATTTATTCAATATTAGCCTTAGTTTTCCCACTTTATTATAATCTGTGGCACGATTTGTTGAAAATTGGCGCTGGCGCGTTAGTCCTAATGGGCCCGCCTCCTCTGGGCTGTGATTGGCTCAGAGATCATCACGTGCGGGTGGTTTTACGAAGCCAATTGGCTGGTTACAAAGTTGTTTGTGAAACAGACTGATATTGCCGCCAACCTAGGAAAGATCAGATGGGTTGTTTTTAAAATGTTTGGTTTGAAAAAAGGCGCGTTGTCACTCATGTTTATTATTAATGTTTTTGTTTTAATAGTTAAATTGGTAAATGAATCGAAGATGTACAGACTGATTTGGCTAATTTGATACTTGACAAAGTTATGTTTCAATAAATCTTAACAACTCAAACTTTACTTAATGTAATTATTTCTTATTTTAACTCCCAGTAGGCAGACTCTGGTATAGATTACTTATTATGGGATAAGTAAAGTACGGTAAGTAAATTTTATTTATATAGCACTAATCACAGACAGTGCTTCACAGAGATCAAAACAAAGCATAAAGTCATAAAATCATAATGAGCTTAAAACGGAAATTAATTAAAATCAGAACAACAAACTCATAAAATTATAGAATACCATGAAACAAATGAAATGATTACAAATTTGAGTTTAAAAAATAAGAAAATAAAAGATTTTGGTAAAAGTAGCTTTAAATAAGAGACTTCTGTTTTTTTTTTTTTAATTGTCCAGACTGTCACGAGATTTTGTTTATAATTAATTGTTGCAATAAAGAGAAGTGTGCAGCTTTAAGTGACCTTTTTAGGACAAACATTAGTTTTCTCTCTGTGCTGTCAGATCTTGAGTGGAAGATTATCTACGTGGGGTCAGCTGAGAGTGAGGAATACGACCAGGTTCTCGACTCGGTTTTAGTCGGCCCGGTACCAGCTGGTCGACACATGTTTGTGTTTCAGGTGAGTTCTTGAATTAGGTGTTTTCATTGTACTTCTGGGATACAACGCATGTTAAGAACATGGTTTGTTGCAATGCTATATTTAATGTTCGACTACTGGACCTTAATCTGGTCTTGTTTCCATCCTCTGTATCCCTCTTTAGGCTGATGCTCCTAACACGGCTCTGATTCCAGAAAGTGATGCTGTAGGCGTGACTGTTGTCCTCATAACCTGCACCTATCGTGGACAGGAATTTATTCGCATTGGGTATTATGTCAACAATGAATATACAGATCCAGAACTACGAGAGAATCCACCCCTGAAACCAGATTACTCCCAGGTAACAATAAAAAGGCATATCTGAGTGAAAAGATATGCATATGTGGCATTTATGTATTTTAAATGCCGCTTATGCTTCCATCTAGTGCTTTTTCTTTGAAACTGACCATAGCAGATACCTTTTGTAACTCTTTGTAGGCGTTTCCATTCATGCGCAATACTGGCTCATTTTGGGGTGTGCAACCAAATAAATCATTGATTACTTTTCAGTAATAGTAATTGTATGTTGGCTGATGATGATGACATTACAGCTTCAGATTTTTCTGACACCTTTTTGGAAGAGACAGAATGATGGAAGTGGACATTAAAAAGTGAAATATATCATAGAATGTAGAAAATTAAAGAGGATACAGTAGTTACAGGGTTTAAACATTAACTTGGTAAAGTTTCCTACTTTTGAAATTATATTCTATTAAAATTTATTCACCATTGTAACCATATTTTGTGCCTCGTTATGTAAAGAGGCAGGGTGATATGACATGCATTTAGAGCTGAAACAACTAATCGATTTAATCGATTATAATCGATTATAAAAATAGTTAACAACTTTTTTAGTCATCGATTAGTTGTTTAATAATCATATTTTACCGCATAAAGTCTATTTTTTACCACAATCTGACATCGGTTACAAGCTGTTAAATTTGCCGCCAGTGTGTGGCAGTAATGAGCCACTGATCTACCAGTGGAGCCGTAGAAGAAGAAATGAGCCAATGGGTGCCCTCGGTTTTCATGACGTATCACGTTACTGACGCTCATCTTGCTGTGAGAGATGGCGGAACAAGAGGAAATACGGAAGAAAAATAGAAGCGACAAAACTGAAGAGAAACCCCGGACAAAAACCTCACGAGTATGGGAGCACATTTGAGACGAAAGCATGTGGGGGCTGATGCAGCAGAGGAAGAGCACCGCGGTCAAGTGAGCCGTCATTTGGAAGAGCCAGCCCGGTAAGTAACAGAAAATAAACAAGCTGGACTTAGTGTTTTAGCTGAGTTCGTTATAGTGGATGTTAAACATGTTTTTTTGCCGCGTCAGTCTACGGTGTTCTACTTCTGATTGACTAGATGCAATCGTGAATCTCCTCCGTGTTGTGTATCATGCGCTTGCCAAATTTAGCACGTCTGTTTATAAGAATGTTCTCGTTAAGAGAAAAACGGCACAAACCCATAACTATGTTCCTCATTCAAAAAAGGACAACTCCGCGGAGAAAAATATACAGACAAGCTGTGTCCAGGTGAATATAACACGGCATAGTTGTACGCTTTCAATTTTTAAATACAGGAGAAATTCAGAAAAAGTCATTTTTTTTTACTATTAAAAGGCTGTTTTACTATCTAACGCTGTAAAACGCCTCACAACACATTTTTATCATGTTTCTTAAACAGTATTACACAAAATAAACATTTTTCATATTTCTCTGGCTAATTTAAACACTCCCGACTCAAAGTAAAAACCTCATGAGCTTCTTACTTAGAGCTTTTTAATAGTAAAAATGTTTTACTTTTTTTCTGAATATCTCCTGTTGCGGGCTATTTTGTAGAACGTAACCCTCAAAATAAATGATCACTGTATATTAATTAATTCAAATAATATAATATTGATTTAGTGTTGTAGTGTGTGTGCTGCTTTATTTTATATGTGTACTTATTTCAGTCTATTTGTGTTTCTTATGCAGAAAAAAACAAGCAACGATGGACAACTACATGGGGAAGAAGACACTCACCCCCCAGCAATTCATACCACTTACAAACTCTATTCTAAACATGCTGGTAAAAGACATGAGGCCACTATCCATGGTGGAAGGAGCAGGCTTCCAGCTAATGCTAAAAATTATTCTGGACTGATATTTTGCACTGTTTAGCTCATTTTCTACTGCTGACTGTGTTCATGTGCAATAAAATAGATTGCAGTCAACTGCACAATTCTCTTATGTTTTTTTGTTCTTAACTGAAATGCATCCATCACTTGTATAGGTTAAATAGCTAAACAGTAACAAACCGATTAATCGATTAATCGAAAAAATAATCGACAGATTAATCGATTATGAAAATAATCGTTAGTTGCAGCCCTACATGCATTTGTAAAGTCAATCATCACTTCACAGCAAGATTTTGGGTTATTTAGCTTATAAGAGAAAAACAATGGGAGTTTTTTTTTTCTAAGTCATTGTAGAGAATATGTTCCTACATTTAATTAGAAATCATAAAATGTGAAATATCACCTTAATGGATCAGAAGATTGGATCTTTTTATTGCAGGGATTGAGCAACACTTCGTATTAACTTCAAGAAAAGAAAGTGAGAGTCAAGTTTTAAAAGTTTAAAGATTTATTACTAAACAAATTAAAACTAGACTAACTTTAAACACTAAATAAGTGGTTGTCACGATACTAAAATTTCAAACTCGATTCGATACTGGGGAAAAAACTCAATACTCGATTTCGATGCTATTTAAAAACACCAATTTATTGAACAAGTTTATTCAAAAAATAACATTCCTCAATTTATATTGCAAAAATTAAATGTTAAGAATTAAGTGTATAAAGTGCTTAAACCTTTCAAGTATCGGCAGTTTTTAAAACGTGCATACGACAACTGGCGAAAGTTAACACTTTAAATCATGAATTGTCTCACTATATATACACTATTAGCAGAGTGATGTTTTGCTGCTTAAACTCTGTTTAAGGTGCATTTTTGCACATATGACTTTGTTTGATTAGCTTTATTAAAAATAGAGTTCTTCTGATTTATTAAGAGAGCCCTTTGTCTTCATTCTTCTCTTGAGCTGGAAAGGAAGAAACCGTTTAGAAGCAGAGCATGCGACCTTGAGCAATATCTCATGCAGATTAAGTTTGTGTCAGAAATTTCTGGTTTTGCTTTGAGCAGAGAAAAACAGAGCAGGGCCTTTTAGGTCAGAAATGGACAATTCATCACGCTACATCATGTTTTCACCATGTTACTCAGATTTTTATAAATGCTAAAAATTTAGTTTGTGATAAAAGTATTTAATTTAGATTTAAAACTAAAATTAAAACAAACTAAATATTTAGGTCTTACCAAAATAATTGGTTTGTAAAATAAATATTTAATTGACTAAATATTTCATTTGGAGCTACATTTTTATTTTTACCAAGTAAATATTAATTTTTCTAAATAACTATTTAGTTCCCAGCTGAATATTTATTTTGAAGCTGAACCTAAATATTGATTTTGCAAGCTAAATGTTTAAGTCTGGCCTAAATATTTAGTTTAAAAATAACTAAATGAAATACTTAGATTTCTAACAAAATATTTAGTTGGGAACTTTAACATTTATAAATGTGTGAGTAACATAATGAAAATATGACTTTGAAAAATAAACTCCCATTTTATTTCTCTTATGATGGGCTAAATAACCCAAAATACTGTTATGATTGTTTGACTTTACAAGTGGCACCCCACAAGGCGATGGCAGTGAGACAGCGCCAAGAGCCCAAGTCTGGTGTTATCAGAACACTATTTTCTCTAGCTTTCTATAACAGAATTTTAGTTTGTTTCTATAAACAGGATTACGGGCATTTTGCTCCATGTGGTCTCTAAAAGTATGATGGAGCTGATGTTGCTTGGGTCTATTAAACTGTCAGCATTTTAACTGTCAGGAATTAATGGCTAGAAAAGTAATTGAAATGATGATCTGAAGTGTTTGTATCTAGTCGTTCTTTACTGTGATGCTACAAATATTTATATCTGAACAAAAAGACCTAAAAATGACTATTAAATCTGACTTCCTGTCTTTTTGAATTTTTTTAAATTCTTTTGTAGCTCCAGAGAAACATTTTGGCCTCAAACCCCCGTGTAACTCGCTTCCACATTAACTGGGAGGGCATGGCAGATAAGATGGAGGACTGTGAGAATGTTGACCCATCTAACACCAGTGGCATGCTCCCGCCATCCTGTATACCGGGAAAGATGCCCCCTCTGGCACAGATGCCGGACAACTCCATGGACTGCATGTAAGGGTCTAAAGATTCCTATGATGGACAAGAAGCTCTTCCCAACAAGTACTCAGCCACCTCGCAACCACACATTTCAACCAAAGGCCATGGATGGTTCTTTTAGTGAAATGTGGACATTAAAGAGAATTTTCAGTATTGCAGCGTGGACATTATTTGTATTTGGCTCTTCAGGTGAGAACGGAATAATTGCCAGCTTTGCTTCCTTGTGTGCTCGTTCAGATCTGCCTTAAATAATCAAAAAGGTTCATCTTGAGAAGTTTTAAGTTGCCAACAGGCTCGCCACAGCCATGAGGCATATGAGCCGAATGTCTAGTGATTATTTTATTATTTTTTTATTATGTTCTCAGTTTCAAATTCTGTTACAGTGTTCAGTGTGAATAGGTTTAGCAAATGATAAAATAATTCAGAAACCAATCTTTGGAAAGTTTTCTAAGCATTTGAAGTGATTAATTCATGTATTTTCCTAATGTTATTTGTTGTGGATGATTCAGAATCGGGGATCAGCTGGTAAAAGTTTCACAATAATTATTAACACAAAATCTGAGTTGGTGCAACTCTAGAAATCTTTTGTTCATTTGTTTGACTGGTATTGCAGAGTAAATCCACAAAGTGACGGGCTTTGTTTGGGACTTTTCTACATCACGTACCGTATTAAACCCAAATCTTCGATTGATGCATCTTTTCAAGGGAAACGATCAGAACTTGGGTTCGGGGTGTGTTTGCTGTCATTGAAGGGCTTTTTTACTGTAAATGTATTCCTATGACCCGCTTTGTCTTCAAAAGCAGACGTTTCACTTTGTACTTCTCATATATCCTCTGCCTTTTACTGTGCACAAGCAACAAGGTTAATAAAGTTTGGTTTTGTTGATTTTGCTCTGATTTCTAATGCTCACTTGGTCTGATTTCAGACTTGTGTGGAGAAAAAAAATCTGTGACAAACAGGGAAGACTCGGGGCACGTGTTGGTGCGCATCAACCCACTACTCCCCCCCCCCCCCCCCCCCCCCCCCCCCCCCCCCCCCCACCACCTTCTTTTTTCCAATTTCATTCATAAAATGCAGCAGCATCACTCTATCTCCACTCTAGCCTCATGTTGCCAGGCAACTGCTGCAAAAAAGAGAGAAGGGAGGGGTGTGTCTGCTCTCGACCATTTTATACCGATCAGTGAGTAACTCCCCCTTCAATCCATCTGTTACCTCTGTCTGCTTCTCACATCTGCCCTGTTTAAAACAACCGAAACAGCAGCAATCAGAATTGGATGCACTCCGAATGCAGCATTATGTAAACATGCAGCAGGGTTTAAGAGCTAAAAATAAGCTGATCAGCTGCAAATCGATCTGGTAAATATTGCCAAACATCTGCTTGTTGCATCTTTATTTAATTTGAAGAGCTGCCACTTTTGCCTAACGTTGACAGTCATTTGGCATGGTTTTACAGCACCTGAGATCAAATGTGGAAAAGAATATAGCTGGTTAATTGGTTGTGCTGTAAAAAATGTGGCTTCAGAGTCAAAGTGATGAGGATGCTATGAGATCTATTTATAGATTTGATTTATTTTTTCCTACCAACACAAGCTTACGTTAAATCAAAGGGGCATTCTAATGCAAATCTGCGAATCGGAGCTTTTGATGATGCTGATGATAAAAGGACCCCTGGTCCGCTGCTCTCTAGTCCAGCTGCTGCGGGGTGATGAAGATGAAACACCAGTTTTTAAAATCTTGTTTATTTGTGTTCATTTCTCACAGAATAGCCTGCGAAATGTTTAGATGTCTTTGCTGCCACACTGCGCCGCGCGTGCGTTAAATTCTGACCAACATTTCTAAAAATAGACTCACGGTTGACGTCACTCAGCCAAACGTGTAACAGTCGCTCAGCAGCGGGAAAGAGCGAAGTAGAGGAGGAGGGTATTTATGTCAATCACTGGTGACAGCCAATGGGCGTCCTCGTGTTCGCTGAGATTCCCACGGTCCGTCCGTATCTAGCCAATAGAAGGGCCGGATCACAAAAAGTGGGCGGAGTCGTTGTCGGGAGGAAAATATTCTGTGACGTTGCCCTCATTCGCGTTGTGTTGGGCGGTGGGAAGCTGCTGTTGTTGATTGACGGCTGCAGTTGGCCAATCACAGTAAACTGTTGGTCACCGCTCTGATAAAGTGGCCAATCATCGACGTAAGCACGAGCTGTCATTCAACGCTGGTTTAAGCAAGTAGGCGGGACGTTCGCTCCGCTGTAGTTCCGTCATCTCGCTGGTCTCCGAGGCTACGGGGGCCCGATGTTGATTTGGGTGAATACCTGTCGTTGTCGGACCCCGCTGAGGCTAAAATTTTGCTAAGCTGGTTTTATTGACAACAAGCGAGACGCTTTCGATTGAGAACATTGCTCCCTCTCCGCTGGTATTGTTGTTTTTATAGGCTGGGAGAGGTGGTGGAGAGCCGGGGAGGGGAGCTCCGTTCGGCGGGGGCTGCAAGGAGGGTCAGGTGGAGACTGTATCCTCCGTGTCCAGGCCAGCTGCCTCCGAGCTCAACCCTGAAGCTCCGGCGAAGCCCCAGCTCAACGTGGATTTAAATCCGATGCTGGCCAGCGGCTGCGGGTGACCGTGGGAGGGAGCGAACCCGCTTATCTAACGTGGCGCCGCATTAGCAGCTGTCAGGCTACTAAAGAGCAAGACCTCGGAGTGAACGCTCCGTGCTGCTGCTGGATTCAGGAAAACACCGTCCAGATCGAGATTTGACCGACTTGAGGAGGCTGCAGGGCGGCCGGAACGCCGCGGATTGCCTGTTGACAGGTTGTCATCATGGGCAACGCGCCCACGGCAAGAAAGGGCAGCGAGATGGAAAGCGGTGGGTATCCTGATCCGTTACATCCTCACGAGATGATCAGAGACAACGTGACACGGCAGGCGATGTTAGCTTTACAAAACCTGCAACACAGCGGCCTTTCCTCACGATGCTTTCATTTAATACCATCCACATGATGTCCTCCTTACAAGCGAATTAGGATGTTATTTGACATGAACCCCATACCAGCAGCGATGGCTGCAAGTTCTTCATCATTTCAAATATGTTATTGAGATCTCTAAATAAAACTCAAGATTTCCTGCTACAGGGCATTTAACTGAGGATGCAAAGCTAGAATTAACTGCAAAACAACCACTCTTAAGCTGCAGTAATATTGGCATCCTCACTTCCTCTTGTACTCGGATCTTGGCAAGACTGCAACAAACTATGTGTCAGATATTTCCTGAACACTCTGTGCCTGTTGCTCTTTGGAGGGATGTATTGTCAAGACTTCTTGCAAACATGGGGGGGGGGGGGGGGGGGGGCATTTAGTGTTGATTGGCTAAGGGATATAATTTGGTCTATCAAATAAACAAAAGTATGGAAGCCTACTGATGAGAAAGCGATGGCAATCAAAGCGATTGTGTTTTATAAATCTACATTTTAGGTTGACATTACGTGACTTTTCATTAAGAACCACAACCTTTGTACCTCAGGGCGCAGTAAAAACAACCTGCACATTGGAAACATGAAAAATATACATTCTTCAATATGAAGCGTGAATATTTTGGCTCAGAATCGCTGCTTTGGATGTTATTCTTGTGTGTTGTTGTGCTGTAAGTTTTACTCACGTTTACAGCAATCCTGTTACTAAATAAAACTGGATTTACTTTGACTAATTTGATAGACGATGTGTGGGGCTGGGAAAAAGTATTTACCTCTTTACAGATTTCTACAGTCTTTGCTTTTGGGGTCAAATTTAGATGTTTCAGACTCTGCTAATTTCAGTATCTGATTTAATTCATCAAGGTGGGGGGAAATTGTCTGGCTCTATGTGAAAATAGCCTGCAGCCAGCCGCATGCTTCCTTATGGGAAGTTCTCTGTGTAGAATTAAACAGAGGATGAGTCTGGCAGGCCAGGCTAATGTGAAAACTGTTTAATTGGGGATAACACCTTTGGTGACAACAGCTGATGCAGCTTTAAGGTCAAAGGCTACAAACTCCTTCAAGATTTTCTGATAGAATTCATGTTTGCATCCGTTGCAGCAAGTGGTCCAGGTGCTGAAGCAGCGAAGCCCTAAACATCACACTACCACCACCATGGTTGACCATGATGCTCTTTCACTGACATTTAATTTTACACCAGATTTAATGGGTTGCACACCTTCCATAAAGTTTGAATTTCATTTGGTCAGTCCACAAAATATTTTGCCAAAAGCCCGGGAGATCATGATGCCTTTGGCAAATGTGAGATGGGTCTTAGTTGTGTTCTTTTTTTAATCTGCTGAGGTTCTGGCCTTGGAACTATAAACATGAATACTTAGATGACCCATTGGGCTCTGGGGAGTGTAACAGCGTGCATTCAGGCTTCCAACACAAAATAATGGACACCACCAGTGTTGTTGAGTACTAAAAGAACTTCAACAAAAGAACTTACCAAGTATTCTGTGCACCTAAATAATAGTGACACACACCCCCATCGACAGTTGCCACATACAACCTGAAAAACATTACAAATAAGATGTAGAAACGCCAGGAAAAGTGACACCGGTCAATTTAGGCAGAAATGTTGAAATTTTTAACGACATAACAATTGATAACAACAATAAACAACTACTCGGTTCTGTAAAAAAAAAAAACAGAACATATAAATGAGAAAAAAATAAAGCTGAAAACTACTTCCTGGTAGCACTGGACATCTTAAAATTTGTGATCTTGGGTCCTCTGAAACCTACCAGCTCGCAGCTCAGAATTCTGAGTTTAATGCGTCATTTCCGGTTAACTTACCTCAGAAAAACGAGTTCTGACGACAACTGGAACGCACCACTAATCTCCATTTTCAGTCAATGGGGCTAAAAAAGCTATTTTTTAATCTGCTTTGCCTGACGCCCTGAATTGCACACATGTTGCACTTCAATTTAAATGAAAAGTAAAGATGTGTGTTTCGATCACACCTGTCAAATTTTGAAACGTATGAGTTTGTAAAAATTTGTAATTACAATTACAAATCGGACGTCCCCCCCCCCCCCCCCCCCCCCCCCGTGTAGCTGCTATTTACCACATGGCAAGATTCATGGTTGTTCTTTCCTACTGAAAGAAGGATTCGAAGCTCCCTTAACCATTTTTCCTATCCTCTTCTATAATGGCCTCCATTTAAAATGATAGCGCAGCCGCGATGTGGCGCGTCTGTCTCCGGTGTGCCCTAAGCTTTAGACACCATAAAGACAGCACCAATCCAAGGGGGGCCTACATATGGTATGTCTGTTGGGTTATAAGCTTGACTCTCCGAAAGTCCAGTTAGAATTGACAAAGTTCATCGGATGAGAAGCGAAACATCTTCAAGAAACCAAAGAAGTCCAGTTGCCTTCATTTGAACTCTCATAATGCAATTTTTTTTTCAGCTTTTTCTTATGTTGAATTATGAATTTTGACCTTAACCAAGCCAGGCCTGTAGTGTTTTAGATGCTGTTTTGTGTTATATTTTCTTTAAAACAGGGCAGGTTATGTTGCTTTTTGAGATCCTTCAGTCAACTTTCTTTTGTCTGAAAGTAAGAATTTTCCTAAAAAGCAGGTTCACTGAGAACCCATTTATTGCTCAATGTTTTTGAAATACGATTTGACATTCTGACTTTCACATGCATGCTGGACGTGAAAATAGTTTTCTACCACTGTTTCCGACATTAGCTACCGATAGAAAACAGATGGGAACCACTTGGGTTAGAAAGAGTCACATAGATTTACGTCACACTGTAAACTAGCATTCATGGACTCACTCATCTTGGGTCCTGACGGGGAAGGCTGTTGTTGATTTAGTCTCAGTCTGAATACGTAGAACCATGTGATATTTCAGTTCGTGTTTTTTATTAACTCTGCAGACATTTCTAAAATTCTGTGTTTTTCTGTCAATATGGGTGGACATTAGTGAGGAAAAAATGAATTTTATGACTGCAATATAACAAAGAGTGAAAAATCGATGGGGGGTCTGAATATTTTCCGTACCCACTGTACGTAGACGCCCTGTGAACTGGCGCTGCCTATTGAAGCTGCTGTAATGGCCGGCCGCCATCTTGGACGGGTCTCCATTCCAGATATATAGTATGGTGTAGTAGTTAAAAAATAAATATAATGACATAAAACAAATAAAAATGTATAACTCCAACACTTGTAGGCTAGAAAAGTCCCAGAAAGTTCCTATGTGATCTGTTTTCAATAGTTCGCCAGTTGTTGCAACCATAGCCTGTACAAAAAAATGGGCATAGTTGCTATGCATTGACTCCCAATTGGTTTCGTAGAGTAAGAACCTCCCATCCAATATGGCGGCAACGCTGTAGCACTCTCCAGTAGCCAAAAGGGGATTCTACGTATTCCTGTCTATGGTTAGCATTAGCAACTCAACAACATAGCAGAACTCCTTCAAGCTTGTGTTATTTATACCAGAGACCACAGTGTATCGAAATAAGGAGTGAATAAGAGATTTAAATCTACATATCTGATAGTAATCAGGTCTGAGTGTGGCTTGGTAAACTAAACTCAATAAATTCGTGATTTAACAAGAGGGAAGATTAATTTTGCACAAAGGACCAGGCTGGTTTGAATAGCTTTTTTTCTCTAAACAAATGAAATCATCATTTGAAAACTGCTCTTCTAGATAAAAATTTTACGGACAAATCAGGGGTGGTATCTTACAATGTTTTGGGTGTTATGTTTAGTTACTCAATCTGCAAACATCAAATTTTTTTCTTATGAATTTTGTGCTTTTCCCTTTTTTTTAATTCAACAGTCAAGGAATTCCTTGCTAAAGCCAAAGAGGACTTCCTCAAAAAGTGGGAGAATCCTGCACAGGTGAGTGTGAAATTGAAGGAGATTTCTGCTACAGTTGTAGAACTGTGACGCACAAAAAGCTAAATGTTGCTAACTTAAATAAATATGGTTTTCCTCCAACTTTGTCTGTTAACGTAACACCAAACAGTTTCCAGCTTCTCTGCCCTATTGGTTCAAAGTGGAATTACAACTGTCATAAACAACCCTGCAGTAGCTAACGCTAACAATGAGCTAACACTAACATGAGCCAAGGCTTACTAAATAAGCCATGAATTAAAAGCATCTACATTGTTGGACAAACATTATTATTATTATTATTATTATTATTATTGATGCACTGATATGAAATTTTGGAGCCGATACCAATATCCAATATTGAGATCACTGTTATGGCCGATAACCAATATTTGCCGATACCGATATACTGACATTAATGCTTCCAAAATCAGCAGATTTTGTATAGCATAAAAATTATTCAAGCTGAATTTAGAATAAAAATTATTAAAGCTGAATTTACGTTATTATGTACACACACACCACACACGTTTACATTTCTGAGATGATTACATTCACTATCACATGACTAAACAAATACACATCACCCCCCTTACCCTCTGAAACAGATAAACTGGAGATGAGATGGAAAAAATATCCGTTAATATCAGCCCGTTTTTATTTATTGGACCAATACCGATATGTTAAAAAATGACTAACATCGGCCGATACCGATAATGTTGCCGATATATTTTCCATCCCTAATTATTATTATTATTATTATAGCAATGCCAGGTCACCATCAGCCCATGATTTCATAGCATCCTTTAGCTCCCTCAAACTAGGCAGCGCCAATGTTCACTATGGTTTTAGCTCTTTGCTTCACTTCCAAAGACATTACTTTCTTACTTTTACTTCTATGCTCTGCCATGTTGCCATTAAAAAATGCAAACTTGTTCTTTTTTTTCTTCTTGTGTTTTGTAGTTGATGTCAGCAAAATAAAAAGTTAACTGCTAGACTGTTTTTAGCTACCAGCACATAAAAGAGGTAGCAGCCATTTAGCAGGTAAAGAGCGCCCTCTAGGTCACGTATACCTGCTGACAAAACTATTAAAGTTGCTATCCATATTATTTCTTTCATCTGATGGCACCATCTAGTGGCTGTCAAGCGTATCACATCTTGACCTAATTTCATTTCCATATGTACAGCTAAAAGTAACGCCTCTTGTTTATGAATGTGCTCCTCTAGCCAACAAGCAGAGCTAAAAACATTGTTTTACAATTATTATGTTCACATTATGTTGTGTATTCATATATTTATATTTTAAAGACTTACTTGTCCATGAGAAAGGCCGTCAACCTGCATCAACCAAGATACGTCGTTAAACGCTTGAGCACACTCTGTGATTAATTTCTGTACGTACGCGATGGTCAAACGCTATTGGTTAATGCTGAGCGGCGCTCAGTTCATATTGCATTGAGCTCTACGGGACAGGGGGTGGGCTTAGCAAAAAAAGAGGGTGTGTTTCCTACATTATATCACATACATGAATGATAAGACAACGACTTTTATGTATTTCTGAAAGATCATACACAATTCTTGAAAGGGGAAAACTCCAAACAGCAGATTTAAATGCATTTTCTGGTCAGCAAAGAGGTGCAGAGTGCTGTCCCATGTGAAGTTGATAATCACTGAACCCCACTTTTGAAGGGATTGGTTAAAGTGTAAAAATCTGCTTAGTGTTGCTTTAATGTGAGGACACAGAATTTAATTTGACTTCTTTTTTTGTTGAAACTGTTGATTTTGAAAAAATCATCCACACTTGCAAGGTCCACACACACACACACACACACACACACACACACACACACACACACACACACACACACACACACACACACACACACACACACACACACAGACAATGATCCCATAAAACTAGGTGAAATTAGAAATGCAAACCAAACAACTGCTTTATCATAAATAGTTGTCATATATTTCTATGGCTTCAATTTCCAGGCGCTGTTCCTGATAATTATCAGATAACTTACATCCATGTATCATAATATTCTTTAGATTTCTTACAGTGTAGTCTAAATCACCAGAAATGGAACATGTTGCATAATATATTTAGACGTTTTCACGTTTCCATGTGTATTTCTCATTAAGTCTACTGTAATATGATGTAACCTCATTTGCATGATCCAGTAGGTGGTAAAGAGTGTCAAAGTTTATATTATTACTTTAAAAATATGTTTACAAAACAAAATTTTCAAGAAAGTGAAAAATCAATAAAATAAATATTTTAAACGGCTCCCTGTAAACCAGGTGTCAGAGATTATATCTACTGTGTATTTCTAAAGATCACACATTTATATACACTAAATGATTCACATGCAGCATGCTGCTAGCACTATATGAATATAGATATTCCCAACATAACCCAACCCAAACGTCAGATTTTCACCTGCTAACCATTTTTGTTTTGTTTCTTCAGAACACTGCTAGCCTGGAGCAGTTTGAGAGGTTGAAAACTCTGGGCACGGGCTCATTTGGTCGTGTTATGCTGGTGAAGCACAGAGAAACTGGCCAGCATTACGCCATGAAGATCCTCAATAAGCAGAAGGTCAGTCTGGGTCAGGAGCTGGCTGGGTTATGGGAAAGGGAGGTGGGGCAAGGCTTTTTAATAAGTCTGTCTATAGGGGGTGTAAAGGATTCTTGTGCAAGGACTCAAATCCAGGTGCAAGCCTGATCCAAAAGCAGGAAAATAGGTATCATCTGCAGGCATTGTCTTTATGCAGATCACACTCAATACAGCAGTTTTGAGCAAAACTGTGCATGCGTTTTCTTTTCATTATATCAATAAAATCCATAGATTTAAAGAAAGTACATGATTCCCCTTACTAGACTTAACCTGTGCAAGCAGTATATATCTGCCACATGACGTTCAATGAAAAGAAAAACTAAGTACTAAATAGCTGACTGTCAGTGTCTCCTGGTGAACTTGTGAACTGCCTCATCAAATGCACGCCGGTGTAGCCCACACAAACCTGAGGAGGATAAGCAGATGGATGAATTATCTGATGAATCTCTATTGTTTGATTGTAGATCCTTTAGGTGTGGGCTCTACAAAAATTTGATCCCATTTTCACTAAAATGAAAGGTGTTGAATTAATATAACAAAATACAATTTATAGTTTGTAATGGATGTTGTTTGAACCCTCTAATGAACCAAAGATATTTAAAAAATCAAATATTATTATAGCCTTTATTCAAAAAGTAGAAAATCTCAAGGGGTTTAGAATATATTTTTACAAGAAACTTGCCAAGAAGGCCGTATAAACGCAACAAATATAAAAAACTAAAACAAATATACAACTGATGCAAGTAATTAATTACACCATGTGCTTAAACTGGTCAGCAAGTACGTGAAACAAGCACACTGATCTAAATGGACCTAAATTTCTCCCAAATTACCCATTCCTTTGAAATCCTTTTTATTGTAATCCCAGGAAACAAAGGCAGCATATTTAAATGTTTTATTCAGAAATCACATCTGACTCTGGGGGTAAACTTTTATAAAATATCATGAGTGTAGGCTATATTGGTTTTGATTTTTTAATGCATTAAAACACTAGAAGGATCAAATCCAAGCGGCAGTTAAAAACCAGTAATGGCTTCCTCTCCCCACAGTGAAACAGCCAGCCTTTTCTATTTGCCAGGTGTGTTGATGTAAAGTAGATCACCAAAATTTCATAAAGGCACAAAAAGTGAAGTAGGAAACAAGATTTATTTCCAAAATGGAAACCTCCTTGAAGCTATAATGTAGCCTTTATGTCTAAGATTTAAATGAAAAGTTTCGATCAATAATAATACCTAATTATTTATGAGATGTGACCATGAATTTAGGTTAGGTTTGCATTTAACACCAACTTAAGTTGTGTTAACCATAACTGAGCAACATAAAAGGCAGATTGCAGAGGTTGGATGTTTTAATGAAGATGTAAATGAAGAGCAAAATGCTCAAAAGTTGAATTCAGCATTTTGATAAACTGTCGCAAATACCGTATTGGTCCAAATGTAGGACGACCCTTTCCAAGACTAATCTTCAGGAAAAAACTAAAAAATGACTTTTTAAATAAACTAATTTGAGAACAAATATACAGCAAAAATACTATTTTAATGCAAACTATCAGAACTTTGCTGACATGTGAAATCAAAAGTCAAATGAGGCTTTTATTTAGACACCCTCTGTCTTTCTGTACTCACTCACTCTGCTGCGGTCCTGGTGTACCATCAGATTGTTAAACCTACCGACTCCTCCCAGAACGTCATCCTCACTGCCATCCAATACATTCGTGCATGCAATGTTTAACGGCTTCTGCTTAAATGAGTTATGTGAATCTTAAAATTTGCAAAACTCTACCTTAGTATATTAACTGCCATTGACGACAAATGTCGTCATTTGTCTCTCTTACCCATGGTGTCCCACAAGGTTCTGTGCTGGGGCCCCTGCTCTTCCTCCTCTAGCTCTATCCTCTTCAGCACATCCTGAGCTCCTTCAAAGGAATCTCCTACCATCTTTATGCAGATGACACCCAACTGTACATCTCCTTTAAGCCCCATGAGATGTCTAAGCTGCAGCTGTTACACACCTGCTTAGACTCTATCAAAACCTGGATGGCTGGGAGCTTTCTTCAGCTGAATGAAGATGAGACTGAGATCCTCATCTGTGCCCCAAGCAAGCTGGTTCCCAAAGTCAGAGACTCTCTTGGTCAGCTTGCTTCCCACACCAAACCTTCTGTCAGGAATCTTGGCGTGACCTTTGACCCAGCTCTCACCCTGGATTCTCATGTCAGTTCTCTTGTTCGCTCTTCCTTCTTCCATCTCAGGAACGTTGCTAAGCTGAGTCCCATTCTGTCCCGCTCTGAACTTGAGACAGTTCTCCACACCTTCATCTCCTCACGCTTAGACTACTGTAACTCTTTTCACGTGTCTGAGCAGAACCTCCCTGAACCGTCTACAGGTGGTTCAGAACGCCTGTGCTCGGCTTCTGACCAAGTCCTCCAAATACACCCACATCACCCCGCTTCTCCTCCAGCTTCACTGGCTGCCAGTCAACTTCAGGGCTCATTTCAAGATCCTGGTTCTGGTCTATAGGGCCTTACATGGACAAGCACCATCTTACATTGGTGATCTTCTTAGTCCCTACACCCCCAGCAGGTCCCTGAGGTCCAGTGATCAAAGCCTACTGGTTGTGCAGCACCAGGCTAAAGACCAAAGGTGACAGATCATTTGCTGCTGTGGCCCCCAGACTCTGGAACTCTCTCCCCCTGAGCCTGAGATCAGTGGACTCAGTGGTCTCCTTTTAAAAGCAGCTGAAGACTCACTTGCTCAAGCTGGCTTTTGTATGACCTTCTTCACCACTCTCTCTTTATTCTGCTCTCCCCACCTATTCCATCTTCCTCAGGATCCACTGATTTCCCTCTTTCCTATTCACTCTCTCTCTTTCATAATTTTTTTTCTTTTAAATCCCAATTGCCTATTTTTGCTAATTTTAAATATATTTTTAAACATGTTCTAAATGCTTTTTTATATTTTTACATTTTTTTTTTGTTTTTGTGAAGCGCCTCGTGATTTTTATCTTGAGAGGCGCTATAGAAATTATATTTTCTTCTTCTTCATTTTAAATCCAACCGCTCGCTGCCATTGACGACTAAAGTAGTCATTTGCAATTTTTTACTGTGTGGGCATCGAAGCGAGCCCCCGCACCGTGAGAAAAAACATCCCAGCTCTAAAGCTGATCTTCATCTGCGTTCGTCACATGTCATGTGATCAGGAAGCAGAAAATCCATGTGTTAGGAGATCGTTTTGGGCCGCTGTTGTAAAACAAGTGAGGCACGAACCAGAAAAGCTTCTGCCGATCACAATTCGACAACGGATTATGAAAGAACAGATAATGCTCGAAACGCGTGGATTCTTCCTGATGTAAGAGGTGAGTCTGCTCTTTGTTTTGGTAGTTTTGGCGTTGACATCATCGTAGAGCGCAACGTTCTGTGACTCTTCAGATAAACAGTGAAAACGCTGGCAGTGAGAGGCTTTTCTAATCAGGAAACAGCTGGCCCCACTTTTGGTCCACTCTGCGCCACATCTCTTGTCTCCATTTTCTTTTCCTGTTGTGAACATACAGCCTGGCGCCCTCTGCTGTTACGGGCGTGTGATGGTTAGACCCCGATTATAAGACGCCCCCACATTTTAAAATTATTTTCAATGAAAAAAACCTTGTCTTCGGGTCAATACGGTATTATTTACAAAGGCATTAAAGAGAAGTTGCCCTAGTATGGAACCCTGAGGAACTCCTTAGAGGCTCTTTTCCACTAACATCTTGACGGTTCGGGTGGTTTTCTTTAAAACTGAGAAACGGCTCTAGTGGGTGGGGTTGTGGGCGGACCCCAACATTATAAATTTAGCTCAACGCGATCTGTACCAACACATCTTTTATCATTGTCCTCAAAGATAAATCTGACCTTTTTTCTTCCTCCCTAATTCTGTTTGCCCTCCAGGTGGTGAAGCTCAAGCAGATAGAGCACACTCTAAACGAGAAGAGGATTCTTCAGGCTGTCAGCTTTCCATTCCTCGTGCGCTTAGAGTATTCATTCAAGGTACGAAGGAGTTTTCAAGGTGTTTGTGTAAGTGGAAGTGTTGACATGTGATTAACCAATTAGTTTCCTTAATTTATTTATTTATTTCATCTGTCAGCTATCACTCTGACTTCTAAGTACTAATTAGTAGTTTCTGCATTTGTTCGACCGCAACGTCTTTTTGATGTACAGTAAATGTTGTCGTCTGCATCAGCTCTCGAAGGACCAAAAACTCTTCAGAATCGTTCTGACTAGGGATGAGTGTTTTAAGCACTGAGAAACTTTTTGTTCCTTGTTTTTGCAATATGACCGGTCACCCACCCATCTTGGCTCGCAACAGAAAAGGGTGTGTTAAAGCTGCTTTAGCAAATTTACAGAACAAGCTAGGTTTCGAATGCAAACAATCACTGAACCCTCACCCCTCCTCTCAGGTATTTTCCCTTAGATTCTTCTTGCGGAACTGGAAGCCCGCGATGCCAGAGGAAACGAGACTGTGCTAAACACTGTTCGCAGTTTTCTACGTCCAAACGTTTCATGTTGTCCAAGACTTCAAATGGTGTTTTTCTTTTTGTGACTCTGGTAGTTTTTCCTAAAGTTGAAGTGGTAGCACTTGGCTGTTTTTCCTCTGATGTTATTGAGTGGAGAACTTCTCACATGTGGAGGACACAGGGAGGACACAGGGAAGTGCGACGGATTGGCGAGACCAAAAACCAAAAGGTCCACTTTTTTTTTTCATTTAATTTTAAACTTCTCAATATATTTATATACTATGTTAATTAAGAGGCATGAAAAATATATTTTAAGTTAATTTGTTTTCCAAATTTGCCGTTGTAGCTATAATTTAGCGTCCAGGAGAGAGCAGAGCACATTTAAGCTAGTAGAAGCTAACTATTAGCATAAGCAACTCCACAACATGGTAGAACTTCTTCAGGCTTGTGTCGTTAGTGGAGATGAAACATCAATGTTGCAAAGCAAACAGTTAATCGTGTTTCTGTTAGCCAATAAGAGGCGAGATGTCTGAATATCAGGAAATAAGGCTCCAAATCCTGCTGTCTTATGCTCACCTTTCCTCTGGCTCACTTCTAGTTCCTGAAACAAGAGCGCCAGAACTTATTGTCCCACAGAAATTGACACAAGGCATTCATTTGTACTACAGACCAATGTATTGAACAAACAAGTGAACTTGGGCTTTAAGATGTTCTGATGTTGAGAGCTCCTTCAGATGGAACGGAACTTGCAGAACCCTTTTTTGCTAGTTTTGCTAGTCAGGCATATTCTCGTTCTTTTGTTTTTACCTGTCCAGAGGACCAATATGGAAGGAGGAGCTCCTGTAATGAGAGTAAAGGTATATATCTTACATGACCACATTTTTTAATCCTTTCAAAATAAAACTACAATGGCAAAAATATGGGATCAGTCATAGATTGCTTAAATAAAAATCAGAAATCTAAACGCAACCTAGAATTAAAAACCGAAACTAAATAAACACCACCATGTTGGTCAGATTTTCAACTCGACTTTGTACACCAAGCCAGAGACGTCATCTGCCAATGTTAGATTGTTTCTTCATGTAAATTTTCTCATCAAAATGTAGAGAAAGTGTCTTAGCTCAATTTACTCCTTTTCAATTTGCAGTTTGGTCACCAACCCCTCCCAAAATTGTCTGACGCTACATTCACTGAAACAAGGTTGAGAAGGTTTCTAAACTTCTACTGTGCCTCTACTTTGTCCCCCTGCAACTGGCACCTTGCAGGCGCTATTCTCAATTTGTTACCAGTAGTCACAGCCCAGTAAAACTCCAGCTTTAGATTTGCGTCTTTGCATGTGAAAACAAATTTCTCTTTAGAAAAGTGTAACTTCATGGGTTCTACTCATGATTTTCCATTATGACGTTTTGTTTAGTCACAAAATAACCTGCTACTATGTTTCTGTTGTAGCAGATGAGCTGTCTATTTTCTGATAAATTATCTTACAGTAGTTTTATTTTATAGGTTCATCTTGGCTCATTGAACTCGAGTTTCAGTAGCAAACAGCATAATGGAACTATTAATAACCCAGTTACATTACTGACTCGGATGCCATTTGCAACATTTTTGATTTGTGTGTTTGTTTGGAAGTTGTAAGTAAAGTAAGTTCGGTTCCTTGAGAGGTGAGGAGAATATGAATAAGATGTCTGCTTGTAAATCTCTGAGTCACACGAAGAAGCTATTTTCAGCTCAAACTTATAAGTCACATTGATTTCCTATGGCAGCACATTAGGGCCATTCTTGGGAAAATAAGAGGTAGAGATTAATGCTTCCTTTTATTTTTTCTTTTAAAATATTTGTTTTTGACTTGCAAGGAGTTGTTTTCCCCCAAGTTCTTCAGATTTTTTAACATTTTATGTTTACATTTTTAGACAAGTTTCACCTGAAAATTAAGACTTCACTGAAAACCCATTTTTTATTATTATTTCTCATTATAGTCAAACACTGAATTTTTCATGCAGGCTGAACATGAAAATAGTCCCCCCCCACCTATCTTCTGCATTAGCCTCTGATAGAAAATAGACGAATTTGACAAGCCTGATAGATCTATGTCACACTGTCCCTTAACATTCATGGGCTCACCCATCTGGACTCATGACGGGGAAGGCTGTTGATGTTTTAGCGTCCAGGAATCAGCAGAGAATGTCTTGGCTATAGAAGTTAATCATTAGCATTAGCAATTTCATCACACGGCAGAAGCTCCTCCAGGCTTGTCTTATTTGTGGAGATAAAATATCCATGTTGCAGAGCGAACAGAGTCAGTGGTAGAGTCTTGTTGCTGTTATCCAATCCAGGTCAAGACCTCCTGGCGTCTGAAGCTCGGCCATAATGGTGAGCCTAGTATACTTCTCCATCAGCCCCAGGAGGGAGACACGCATGCACAGACGCAGACAGTTTGCTCTCATACTTCTCCGTCTCCTGGGGAGTGTTGCACAGCAATTCCCCGCCAGGACAACAGAGGGCGTAGCGTTGTTCTGTGGTATCCTGTCATGTATCCGGTCCAAGATAGTGTGTTTTTAATTGTCTTTTTCTGTATTTAAGAGACTTTTTAACATGGGCAGATTTGTCCCTCATTCTCCTCCACCTCTTCCTGCGCTCGCCACCTCTAAACCCACGTTTCCCATCATTTCCATCCACGAATGAAACGCTTGCGCATCTTTTCACTCCTCCAGTCACGGGAGAATAAAACGTTCTTATTTCAGAGTTTTTCCGTGAGGTGTTTTTCTAGCTGCTCCATGTCTGCCATTAGATATCTTCGGCTCTCGTTATGTTTTTGAGGGCTCAATGGCGGCGCTGTAGACGACAGTGGCGTCCTGACCAATCACAAGCGTAAGTTCTCCGTCTCGACGGATGAATGTTTAGAAAATAGAGCTCGACTCCGTCTGTGCTTGTGGGGGCTGTCCAGCAGGCTCGCAAGGACGGATAATGACGTTGCGTGTGTCCGTCCCGACGCAGACGGAGAAGTATAAATTAGGCTTTAGGTCCTAGAAACGGTGCACCGGTAAGAACGACTTACAAGGCATCCATTCCTACTAGAGACCACTGCAAATGTACTGATTAAACAAGTGTTCTACTCCTTTAAGAAACATGATTCTGAATGTAGAAACGTCCACATTCAAAGCCTGTCAGTGCTGGAGCGAACATTAGGGCCTTGTAATGGTTAAGTTCACAAACTGTGAAAAATGTTAGATTTTTTTTATTTATACTTCTGAAATATGGTAATAAGTTTATTTACACAAAGCATTATGGGTATTTTAGGTTTCTATTCCAGTTTAGTTTAGTTGACTTTTAATTTCGAAATAATTAATTTCTCCTAATTTTTTGGACATTTTTCTTGATATTTCATGTATTTTTTTTTTTTTACATTTCCACTTTGTATCAAAACTATGAATAAATTATATCTATTTTTGTGGCTACAATACAGGTGCTGGCCAGTAAATTAGAATATCATCAAAAGGTTGAAAATATTTCAGTAATTCCATTCAAAACGTGAAACTTGTACATTATATTCATGCAATGCACACAGACCAATGTATTTCCAATGTTCATTACATTTAAATTTGATATTCATAAGTGACAACTAATGAAAACTCCAAATTTGGTATCTCAAAAAATTAGAATATTCTGAAAAGGCTGAATATAGAAGACACCTGCTGCCACTCTAATCAGCTGATTTACTCAAAACACCTGCAAAGGCCTTTAAAAGGTCCCTCAGTCTTGTTTTGAAGGCACCACAATCATGGGGAAGACTTCTGACTTAACAGCTGTCCAAAAGACAATCATTGACACCTTGCACAAGGAGGGCAAGACACAAAAGGTGATTGCTAAAGAAGCTGGCTGTTCGCAGAGCTCTGTGTCCAAGCACATTAACAGACAGGCGAAGGGACGGAAAAAATGTGGTAGAAAAAAGTGTACAAGCTCTAGGGATAACCGCACCCTGCAGAGAATTGTGACGACAAACCCATTCAAAAATGTGGGGGAGATCCACAAAGAGTGGACTGCAGCTGGAGTCAGCGCTTCAAGAACCACCACGAGGAGACTCATGAAAGACATGGGATTCAGGTGTCGCATTCCGTGTGTCAAGCCACTCTTGAACATGAAACAGCGCAAGAAGCGTCTCGCCTGGGCCAAGGACAAAAAGGACTGGACTGATGCTGAGTGGTCCAAAGTTATGTTTTCTGATGAAAGCAAGTTCTGCATTTCCTTTGGAAATCAAGGACCCAGAGTCTGGAGGAAGAGCGGAGAAGCACAGAATCCACGTTGCATGAGGTCCAGTGTAAAGTTTCCACCGTCAGTGATGGTGTGGGGTGCCATGTCATCTGCCGGTGTTGGCCCACTCTGTTTCCTGAGGTCCAGGGTCAATGCAGCCGTCTACCAGGAAGTTTTAGAGCACTTCATGCTTCCTGCTGCTGACCAACTTTATGGGGATGCAGACTTCACCTTTCAACAGGACTTGGCACCTGCACACAGTGCCAAAACCACCAGCACCTGGTT